TGTGATTGAAATGGGATTGTGTATCAATACTTACTTTTATTATGCACTTGCAACCACACCTACACATGTAAGCCTGCCATCTGCCATTATGCCTGTGTGGCAAGTCCAAATAAAGCTTTGGTCTACTAAGTTGTGGATTTAATCTATCTTATTACATTCTAAAGGGTGGGACAATCAAAGATGGGGAAAGCTCTTGATTATATGCAGAATGCCTTTTCTTTGTATCATTACTCTGTTATCTTAAGCTTCACTCTTTTGGGAATGCTTCCTCTTCCTTTTGAAACCCTTCTGCTCTGGTACTGGGTGTGGTGAGTTTAAGGTCACACCTTGTTCATATAGGGTGTGACCTTAAAGTCAGGATCCACTCCTGCCATTAATGCCTCAGCAGAAGTCAGGTTGAATTCCAGGGAAAAGTGGCCCATCTGTCTCCATTGGCACTGTCACAGTTTAGCTGCCTCATCTCATGCTGGGGCTACTTAGATATCATCCCTCTTGCCTTCTGCATTTGATCACCCACTTTTCCTGTCAATATTCCACACTGCTGTTTATGTTGGTTTCCATTCTGGCCTGTTCTTTGAATTATCCTATAGGCAACCGGGACCAACAGGCTTTGGAGTTTAAACATTTAAGTACAGAAGTGTTGGAGACTAGTTCTTTTACTGGTTTGAAGACTGGACCACTTAATAGCCTAGGAAGCCTAATAAATTAAACTTCAACCGCCCCGCCCCCCCCGCCCCCATATTTCAGAATGTGATGGGTTAGGTAAAGAAAGGCATGAGGCACTCCACACCCCAGTAAAGGAACCTAAGGCCTCTCATCATTCACATCACTAGTAACTGTGCCTCTGCTGAGGACCTGGGGCACTGGGAGCATGCACCCTTATCTTCTGATGTATTGTTTCCATATATCTCTATATCCTTTGACATTAAAAAAAATAAATTTTGTATCTTGTGCCTCTTGGCTTCTTTCTCTTACTTTTATTTCTGCACCATGATGATGCCCAGGCAGAAGTCATGATCTTTAAAATATGGACCACATACCTCATTTATTTTCAATCTCTTTTGAGTATCCTGCACTCTACCTTATCTGGTTTATTTTCTGCTTGGAGAATATTTTATCTTTTCATATCTTTGTGCTGAGGTCCTTGCCCTTCCCTCATTTTGAAAGGCTTATTCACTTTGATTCCCTTACACTTTATTTCTCTTCTTTATTCATACTGTTCTTTATAACAGAGGATCAATATTGAAATAGGGAAGCCCACCACAAGCTCTTAGGCAGAACTTTGGAACTGAATTGAACAGTGCAGTGAACTTTAACAGATTAAGTATGCTATCAGTGTGAAGAGTTCTGTTACACTAAAGAAGTGAATTATGATATCTAGAATTAAATCCTGACTCTGGCTTACTAGCTTTGTGACCTTCTCTGCCTTTCAGTTTCATCTATAGAATGAAGAAGTAATAATGGCAGCTACTTTAGAGGGATGAGAAAATTAAACGAGATCATCTTTGAATAGCATTTAGGCAGGGTGCCTGGCACATAGCAAGCTTTCACAAATCTAACTAATCTTGGGCCTATTGTTTTCTCTTCAGGATGCACTCTATGTTCTTTTCACTCTTAGGTATCCTCTGAGGACTTGAAGAAACAAAGACTCTTTATCCACTAAGCATCTGCCCCCTCCTGCAATCTGGAAAACCCCAGGGGTCAGAGCACAGAGAAAAGCCAGTCTCTGGAGGTGTTACAGTGTTTGGCTGTTGGACAGAGGCCAAGGGGAGCTGTGGTGTCCAGGGGAAAAGCAGGATGATAGAGAATCTAAAGGGGCAGCTCCCAGTGGGAGGTCTTTGAAAGAGACAATACTCCTTATCATGACTCTGTGCTGTTCATCTTTGATCTTACACTGCTCTTCCAGCTCCTCCTGAAGGGTCCTGTATATATCTCCAATCTTTTGAGTGAAAGAAATGTGGACACATCAGAGGAAGTCAAACAAAGAAAACTCCAGAGATGTAACTGACCTGGGGATTGAGGATGGGGCTGATGGAGTCTGAAAGCCAGGGTCACCCTAGAAAGGATATAAACCCTCCACTCCATCATAAAGGTCTGGTCAGGTCTGGTGGGTACTTCTGATGCCAAGATCACCTTGTGGAAATGATAAGAGGATGGGGGAAAGGAAGAAAGCAAGGAACACGTGACTACTTTGGTCGAAAGCTGAGAGAAAGGGGTAAGTTCAACCACAGTGTGGAGAGACAGGAGAAGAAACAGAGGAGAAGGGCTTATTGGGTGCACTTTATTTGGTTGTAGAGGGAGGCTTAAGGTTATCATAAAGGCTATATAGAATGAGTTATGCATGACTGCCTTTACCTTAACATTTTTTTAAAATTTGGATTGTGTATTTCCCATCCTTTTAATAGGAATGAAAAATGCTAACATCCTGACTTTATTTCTTGGAGTTAAGTGACTTTTCTAAGCTTTTCTTAAGTGATTGGCTCTTCAGGTTTTTGTGTGAATGTCACCTCAGGGTTGAAGGTGGAGGCAGATTCTGGGCTGGCAATGTCTTAAGAACTCAATGTCCTAAGTTCTTGACTAGAGCTTTCTGAACACTGCCTTAATAACCAGGAAGCAACTGTGTCTGTATATCTCAATCTGCATAGTGGCCATGTGAGTATGCTCATGTGTCCACTTTATAAAAACATTATCAAGCTGAATGCCCAAGATTTGTGCATTTTATAGTATGAATGTTATAGTTCAATTAAAGAGGCAGGAAATTAAGGAGTAAGCAGTAATAATAACTGTTTTGGGTAGGTCAGGTAAAATAAAAAATAAAAATAGATTACTGGATTGGCAACAGGTCATTGATGGAGATCATTGTTGATTTTAGCAAGAAAATTTTCAGTAGCAATATATTGAAAAGTGAAATTAAAAAAAAACAAACAACCAAGCCAAATGTCCCATCATTTAAAAAGACTAATAAAAAATATAAAACACTAGCATTACTAATCAAGATGAAAGAGAAATGAGGAAAATAAAATCCTCAAGGGAATGAAAAATCTGACCAGCTAGATGTTGCCAGGGTGGAGAGCGGAAGGATATGCAGTGCCCAAGTGGGACCCTCAAAAGAAAGGGAAATTATACAGGGCAGCCAGCCAGGAGAAGATTCTGGATCAGAGGCAATTTGGGTGAGCAGATATTCTGGTTCCTTAGGCTCTTCTTTAGCTCCTTAAGTAGTGATGCTCAATACTCAGTTTGTGGCACCCAGAAAATACACAGAAATCTTATTTCTGATAACCTGGTAGCTCTTCACTTCCATTCTCTGTCAGAAAGCTTTCCCTTGTCTTCTCACGGCCTGTCACTGAAGATGTCTCCCCCACCCAGTGACCATACACAGCAAGGTTCTTTTAATCTGACCCGAAGCAAAACTTGTTATTTTATTCAGTCTGTTGCATTATAAGGCATTTCTTACATTCAGGGTTTGTTGTTGTTGGTGGTGGTTTGCCTGGTTCAATAAAGACCACAGCTTGCCATCATATCTCCCAAAATTTAAAGATAAAGCTTTGCTGTTGTTTGGGATGTCACAGTAGCTTATCATGAAGGGACAGTTACCCATATTGAAGAATCATAAAAATATATTGGAAGGTTCATCTATGAGAAGGTACCCCCCAAAAGGAATTTTTTAATAAAAAATGTATATTCTTATATGTTTAAACTTTAGTCGCCTTCAAAGTATTCTCCCTTTGAAGCACCTATTGACATTTTTTTTCTGCTGCTCAAAATGGTTTTGATGCCTTTCAGTATTTCTGTTGTTTTGTTTCACCTCTCCCACATTGGCAAATGTTTCTCTTTGAGGATTTTTTTTTTTTCATCCAGGGAAACAAACAAAAAAAGTAGCTGGGGGCGAGATTGGGTGAATAGGGAAGGTGGGGCATGGAGGTCATGCCATTTGTGGTCAAAAACTGCTGAACACAGTGTGGTTCCAGCAGGTGTGCTCATAGATTAGCCATCATGAAATGGGCAAAGCGTTTATTGAAAGAATCTTCAAAAAAAATTCACCGAAGCTGAATACATCCTCTTAAAACAACGCCAGCTGGTACACTGATACAGATGGATTCCTAGGACACTCACCTAGTGGTGAGTGTGACCAGAGGCCCGCCTGTGTGACCAGGAGGGGCCTCCTGGAGGGGCCTGCCCTCCAGAAGATAAGTCTTTTTTTTGTTTGTTTGTTTTTTTGGTCTCTCCTATGGTTTTATTTGCAGCTGTTTAATCTATTAATTGAAACTAGCTCAACAGGCAATCCAGCCTCAAATTAAAAAAAAGGGTAGGGATTATAAATACTTCTAGACAGTTTACTATGAAAAATTATAATATTGGTCTCTAATGACCTTATTTTTGTAAATCTACTAATTCCTCTCTTCAGCCAGAAGGGTGCTTCATTCATCTTTTGTCTAGCGCTATACTAGGAATACAAAATGTGAAATGTTTAATATCAGGAAGTTCACTGTGTCACTCAACAAATATTAAATATTAGGATCTGAACATACAAAGAAAAAAACTCCTCTGACTTCATTCATTCATTCCTTCACTCAACTGTTTGCTATAATGAGCACACACATCTTTTTACAGACTTGCGCACCACAGCTGTGTGTCACAGATTTGGTAAAAGGTATAAACCTATGACCAAGATACACATGACTGAATACAATAAAGTCATAGGTAGAATATTGGAATTGTTAATTTAGGTCCCTCAGAGGTCAGCATGAGAGATTCCATGAAAGCCCAGAAAGTACCTAATTTAGCTTTGATATGGGTTTGGGGAGGAGGTAGAACTGAGGACATTTCCAAAGGAGGTGTTCTCATAAGATGATCTTTGAACAATGAATAATGAGGCAAAGAATAATGAGGAGGATGGAAGATGGAGAAGGATAACTGTAACATGTCAGTTTTTGGGTCCTGAGCTGAAAGTATCACCAGGCTCAGGAGAGACTAATACCACACCTGGGAATTAGTCTCACAGAATTACATCCTTTTCTTACATCATTTTATGCCTTAACAGGAAAGCAATCTCATCTGTGATGCTGAGGCTACCCTACAACCACACAGTGGAAACCTCTGCCACCTTCTTCCTTGTGGGTATCCCAGGTTTGCAGTCTCCACATCTTTGGCTGGCTATCTCACTGAGTGCCATGTATACCATAGCCCTGTTAGGAAACATCGTCATAGTGATTGTAATCTTGATGGATTCCACTCTACAAGAGCCCATGTACTGCTTCCTGTGTGTTCTGGCTGCCATGGACATTGTTATGGCATCCTCTGTAGGGCCCAAGATGGTGAATATCTTTTCCTCAGGAGGCAGCTCCATCAGCTTTAATGCTTGTTTCACTCAGATGTATTTTGTCCACGTAGCCACAGCTATGGAGACAGGGCTCCTGCTGGTCATGGCTTTTGATCGCTATGTAGCCATTTGTAAGCCCCTCCACTACAAGAGGATTCTCACACCTCAAGTAATGCTGGGAATGAGTGTGACCATCATGATCAGAGCTGTCATATTCATGACTCCATTAAGTTGGATGGTGAGCCATCTACCTTTCTGTGGCTCCAACATAGTTCTCCATTCCTATTGTGAGCACATAGCTGTGGCCAAGTTGGCATGCGCAGACCCCACGCCCAGTAGTCTCTACAGTTTGATTGGTTCTTCCATTATTGTGGGCTCTGATGTGGCCTTCATTGCTACGTCTTATTATCTGATTCTCCGGGCAGTCTTTGGTCTCTCCTCTAAGAATGCTCAGTTAAAAGCATTAAGCACATGTTGCTCCCACGTGGGGGTTATGGCTCTCTACTACCTACCTGGGATGGCATCCATCTATGTGGCCTGGCTAGGGCAGGACATAGTGCCTTTGCACACCCAAGTGCTTCTAGCTGACTTATACCTGCTCATCCCACCTGCTTTAAACCCCATTATCTATGGTCTGAGGACCAAACAGATACGGAAGCGAATATGGAGCTTGCTGATGCACTCTGTGACCAGCCTACTTTAAATATGTCTTAGATCTGTGGAGCTGGTTTGGTTCACCTGGTGCCATAGGAGTTCTAAGATAAAGCTGTAAAGGATATCCTCGCATAACTTCTATTTCTAGCAAGAATGTGAATAAAAATGGTTAATTTTCAGGAACTAGTATAAAGGACACATGGACAACAAGTAAAGAGGGTGGAAATGGGAGGGAGGTGGGGACTGGGGGGGTGGGCTGGGATGAGAGTAAAAGAATACTGTAGTTGAAAACTAATTTTTAAAAAAAAAATTAAAAAATGGTTAATTTTCTGACATTTTAAAAATAATTTTAATCAACTAGTATCTGAACTAAAGTTTGAGCAGAGAATATAGATTTGAGGCTTTTCTTTCCTTAGCTTCTGACCCGTATTTCCAACTTAACATCTTACCGGTCCCTCTGCAAGACAAACTGGCCTGCCCACACCTGGCTGATTTTATGAGAATTGTTCATTTCCTCACGTGATTCTATGGAAGCAGCTATTAATATATGACTTCTGGCCCATTGATGACTCTATTCAACTTGGGTCATGTGCTCACACCTGAACCAGAGTCCTTCTTCAGTCAAATGAATTCATTTATCTGAGATGTAAATTTTGGATCACTGATGGTGGCCATTTCATAACACATGAACTTGGAATATCTATTCCATAGGAAGAGAGCAGATTAGTAAAATGGGATGAAGGAACCAAGTCTCTGGTTCTGTTTCCAATTCATTTTCGGTACCTTGATATGCCCCTATCATTAAGTTTGGTAAGATACCTCTATATCCTTTTACTGTGTCCCCTATCGTTAAGCTAGTTGGAGTAAGTGTACTAATCACCAGCTTTTTGTTGTTAAGCAAGAGGTCAGGGCAATGTGAATTGTTTTGGACGCCTTTCACTTTTCTTCCTAGTCCTTTTACTTAACTGTAAGACATGAAGTAGAGGAATCAAACATAACATATTTTTTCTTTTGAACACCTCTAAGAAGGTGTGTGCAGAGATGAAAAGGGTAATGGAGAACAATATTGTTAATGCACCTGAAATGTCACCAGATTTTCTTATTTTCCCTCCTTTAGTGAATGATCAATATACACTAAAACAAAAAAATTTCATATGTAAGAGATACATATATTTGACTCTGGTACATTTGAAAAATCTTAATAAATGATAATTTCCTAATAGTATTGATAACAAGTTATTGTATCTGAGTTATAATATCTCCTTTCTACTGAGAGAACAATAATTTATAGAGGGTATAGGAAATCAAATAAAATAAGGAAAGCACATAATGTAAGATCAGTGTGTTGTACATACTTAAAAATAAACTCGATAGATTTCTCTTTAAAAGAATTTTTATTTACTGACTTTAGAGAGAGAAGGGAGGGAGGAAAGGGGAGGGAGAGGGAGAAAGGGAGAGGCAGAAAGAAAGAGGGAGAGGGAGAGAGAGGAATAAGAGAATATTGCTTTGTTGTTCCACTTATTTATGCATTAATTGGTTGTTTCTTGTAATTTTGTATGTGCTCTGACCAGGGATTGAACCTACAATCTTGGCATACCGGGATAATGGTCTAACCAAGAGAGCTAGCTGGCCATGGCTACAAAATTGATTTCTAATTCTGTAATTTAGGAGGTAGTTTTAGGCACTATTAGAACTACAGTCCTGTAATTATCATTCATGGGATAATTCTTCCAAACAGATCTGCTGCATCCATAGCTTTTGCTAACACTGGACTTATGTACTAGAATATATTGTGTTTCTGAATACCAGTGGGGTGGAAATCAGCCTCTAAAAACCTGATAATGCACCGAGTGTCCACAGTAGTAAAAAGAAATTATCTTGCAACCCCATAATATAAAAACAAATCAAGATGAGGTGGTTAAGCCTATTTGATAAGATTTCTATTTTGAAAAGTCACACTACTCTTTCTTAATAAGCAAAACTAAGAACTGACCATATTTGATGGAAAGCAACAAAGGCGTAGTCCAGCTTGCATCCAAACTAGGAATTTCTTCACAGCATTTTCATTAGAAGCCTGCCCTGCCAGTATTGCCCGAAACTACCTGGGACCCACTGTTCATTCTCAAATATTTAGTGGACTGAATTCCCTTCCATGGCCAACCTCAAACAGAAAGTCCTGTTCTTTTCCCAATACATTCAGATACAACCCCTGTCCCATCACATGAAGCAATGTGTGCTCATTCAACCAGAGCCTGTGGTCCACAGTAGGCTCTCAGTGTTTGCTTTTAAGACATTAGAATCAATTCTGCTTGAAAAAAAGGCAGACAAAATTTTCTGTGGGTGAAAGCAAGGATTGCCTTCCACCTCTTCCTTTTGCAGGACTCAAGCATTTCACCCTTTTAGTAACCTATCCCTTCAAGGCTCACGCACTGCACCCCTTAGTTTCTCTGCTAGTGAAGCAGAAATATGCAAAGCTTGTTCCTGACTCCCTCCTTGTAGTGAATAATCACATCAAGCTGGAGGTGCCCTGGTGGTCATTTCCCGAGGTGTGTAGGCCCTTATCCTCCACCCTACCTGCCCCTTCCCCATGCAGTGGTCCATATGGATAGTTGTGCAACAAATTAGTTTTTGAACAGGATTATAATTATTATCTAGTCTTTCATGCTCCTTTAAGGCAAGAAAAGCTTATTTTTGTTTTGATTCTAGGAATGAGACCGATGATTCCTTCACTTATTTATAAATGTGTGCACACACAAATGCACGGTGCAAGACTCAGGGTACAACGGTGAACCAGATGAATAAGGTCTTGTCTTCAAGGGGTTCTTATAAGTATACATAAGAACCCTAAAAAGGGTTTTCATATACTTAAGAACTTTAACCTTCTTGCCTGGTCTTAAAAATCAGAAAATATGAAATAAACAATGTGACATCATTTAACCTTGTAATTCTTCTAACAAGCTATATAGTTCCCAAATCAGTATACAAATGGGAACCCCCCCCCTCAACAACCAAAGCCCCTAAATAGTACATTATAAATGAAGCCATTCCACTCCTTTATTCATTCTAGGTTTGAGAGAATTTATCACCTAATAATCTTTTCTCTGAACCTTCCAAGGATTATCCTAAGAAAACCACAGAAAAGAACAATATTGATTTGTCCCAAGCCTCTTTTGCCAACAGACAGATGATGGGATGCACTTCCTAAAGAATCTATTTCTCAAGTTTATACACAATTCCCCAGGCACTCTACCCTCCACATGGCTTGTTGGCTACCTGCCTTTTACCCACCTGGACCACTTTGTGTGTTCCTCCCACTAAAAGGCAGTCTCTCTACTGTAGGTCAACTTAGCCCTTTGCTGAGACCAGGCCTGTGACTTACTAGTCCATTCCGCTTCTACTGCTAATGCGTAAGAAGCGCCTTGGAAGCATGGTAGTGGAATGAGTTTACTTCTCCATTTTGGCCTCTTTTAGCTCAAAAAATTTTTTTCCTTTTTTTTAAAAAGATTTTATTTATTTATCTTTAGAGGGGAAGGGAAGGAGAGAGGGAGAGAAACATCAATGTATGGTTGCCTTTTGTGCGTCCCCTGCTAGGAACTGGCCTGCAGGGAACTGGCCTGCAACCCAGGCATGTGCCCTGACTGGGAATCAAACCGCGATTGTCTGGTTTGCAGGCCCGCACTCAATCCACTGAGCTACACCAGCCAGGGCTCAAAATTTTTTTTTAATCTTCCCCTGAGGATATGTTTAGAGACAGGGAGGGGGCAGGGAGAGAAAGAGAGAAACATGGATTGGTTGCCTCCCATATGCAACCCAACCAGGAATCAAACCCACAATCTTGTATGTGCCCTAACTGGGAATTGAACCAGCAATATTTTGGTGATGTATGGGACGCTCCAACTGAGTACCCAGCCAGGGCTCCTGCTTTCCATGTTAATGACCAATACAATTAAATTGGAAAAGACAATTTTTTCTATTATTTATTATAGGAATTTGCTTCTGTCCATACATCACCCAGTATCTTCGTTGCTGCTCAATCCCACCCAGTCACTAACTTCATGTCTAAACTACATCAGAGGTGGTGTCAAACAGTCACTGTGACAATATGTGACACACGTAATGTAGCCTCTCACCACAGGCAAAGCCATCAACTCTCACATGCTGGCCTTGCACTTTGTTTCCAGACAGTTATTCCCACATCATACTCTTAAGGCCTGCAGTGAATTATTTTTGCCACACACAGCATCACTTCTAGGTCAACAGCACAGATATATGGTCGTAATTTCTCCTTCATTATAACTTATGGCTCCACAACAGGCTTCTTGTGCCTAGTCCTGTTCTTTTCCCCACACCTCCTTTCCTCACACCTTTAGAGAAGACAAAGGCAGGGAGAACGGAGAACGGTAGGTAGTTACCGGAACCATGTGGATTCCCTTGGTGACACCAGAAGAGCCAAACTTTGGCTTAAATAGTTTGTGGGTGAGTGAACCTTCCTTCCTGGGTATTTTTTTCTTTTAAAAATTCTCTCTACTACCCTACAGTCACAGCCTCAAACTCTAATGCAAAGACAACAAATATACAAGAAAATAGATTCACAATATATTACTGGGACCCAGAGTATGCCCCTGGCACGGCCACGTTCTGTCTATAGGGCCCTCGGCTGTCAGGACAGGCCCTGAGACACACGGGCCCTGCTGTAAGATGCTGGCTGAGAAGGAGAGCTAGGAAGGCTACATAGGCAATAACCACAGCATGCCTTCCTCTGTCCCTGAGCAAGGAACACAGGTTTGGGATGGATCCGAGATCCTTACAACAACCCTGTGAGGTAGGAGAGTATGCAGCCCCTCTACCCATTTCTCCATGTAGGACAAAACATCTTTCAAACAAGTGGGAAGTTTCAGATCCAAATGTAATGAATGAGATGCAGACATGTGACCTGAGAAGTGAGTCTGTCAATCTTTGTTTCATTGAAATGTGATAAACACTTCATAATCTTTACAACCTTCTTTCAACAGCTTTGCGAGAAAAAACTTGCTCTATTAAGGCCATTTCAGTTTTCTAACCCATAAAGTGAAAATTAAAACAAGGCTCACAGGCTTTCTGATCCTGTCACTCAGAGAGGGCAGGATGAGGACACAGGTCTCCTCAGTGCCTGGCACACAGCGGTGTGTCCAGCTCATGCTCAGAGGGGGACGACCACTGGGGCAGTCTGGGCAATTTGCACTGTTTCTATGGTTCACAGGTTGGAGAGCTGGGCTCAAACACTTGCTCATTTGCAGCAAACCTCAGGTGAGGCTTCCTCTGACGGGCTTTAGCGTGGCTGCCAGGTCTGGATATGAGCAGTATTCGTCTGACTTGTTGGTAAACCCTACCCAATAGGTTTCCAGAAGGCTGGATCTACTTCATTGCCCTTACTGACTTAATTATGGCAACAACAGGGACTGAAAAAGAGGGGCCAGAGCTACGGAAAGGAGAAGTCATCATTGTTAGAGCCACTCCGACCCTACTCTGATCCTCACCATTGGCCCTGTCATGCTTCCCTCACAGAGGACAATGCTCATTTGACTAAGCCTCACCTCTTTCACGTGAGTGGTTTAGTGAGAGACTCTAGCCCAGGAACAGCAGGCCCCTGGGCAAGGCCCTCCAAGACCCCTGTGGCCCAGGTGAAATTCTGAGGCCTCTGCCTGGGATGGTGGCTCTCTTAGTCCTCCCTGTCCAGGGAGCAGATGGCCAGAGGAGCCGTGTTGTTGGCACCAATGCTGTAGCAAGGACTGAAATAGGGCAGAAGGCGTCCCGGGAAGGGATAGTGGGGAAAAGTAAAAATGTGAGAGCTGTTGTCAGTCACGTTGTAGAAGGAGATATCATGGGCCTCATAATCCAGGAAGACACCCACCCGTCGGGGAGGGACTGGCAAGGACAGGAGCGGGTATTCGTCAGTGCCTGCCCGGTACTCATTGCCCTTCCTCAGCCTTATCACCCAGAATCCATAGTGGGGGGATAAATAAACCACCTCCTTCCGGTCCACATCTTCCTTACACACTCCCAGGCCCCATTCAGACCTGTCTCCCACCTCTACCTCCCAGTAGTGCTGGCCCGAGGAGATGCACTGGCTGCCCAGTACGATGTTATAGCGGTAGAATCTCTCAGGATTGTCGGGCAGTTTCTGTTTGGTGTCTCCATAGCGCACGCATTTCCTGTCCTCAGACACGATGAGGCGTGAATAAGCAGTGTCTGGATCAAGGCGCACATCAGCTAGGGAAAAAGATCCTGGTTGGTGACACTGGTACAGAGTGAGGGGCCACCCAGAGCACACTGAACCACTTAATTTTTGTGGGGAGGGTTCCCCCACTGCCCATCACAGCCTCCCCCAGCATTCATTACCTGCGTATGTCTTCAGCATCTCTCTTAGGCCTGGCACACAGCAAACTGTTTTTAGCTCCAGGGAGACTGGTTCTGGCCGCTGCAGGTTCCAAGAGTTGCTCCTAGTGGAGGAGGGTTAAGCCTTGGGACAAGAAGTCTTAGTTCTGCTATAAGGACCTTCCCTTCTTTCCCTTAGTACACAAAAGAGGGGCTTAGCAGGGAGGTGTCCCTCTCCTGCATCACCAGGCTAAGCAGAGATGTGATGATTATTCAACTGAGCTGAACCATTTGTGGCACAGGGAGAACATCTGTGCTGTGAGTAGGGTTATGTGCACCTGATGTGGGGAGAGGAACACGGTGTGCCAGAAGAGAAACGCTACACTGAAGAGCTTAGAACACTAATGGTTGCATCTGCAGGGTTTTTCACTCCTTGGGAGATCTACTGGAAAACATATGTTGTAACTTTTCTGAAATTCTTACTGGTAATACTTGAAATGAATCTTACCAAACACAATGAAGAAAAAAGAAAGATGACCAAAGCTTCTTTGGCCAATATAAGGAAAGAGGAAGAACATTATGGAGCAGCTCCTGCTTTTCTGTAGTACTGGGTCTCTGTTACTTCTCCACTTCTGGCCAGGCCCCACTATCCCTCCCAGGTTTGCCTAGGGGCTCCAAGGATGAGGACATACCTGTTTAAGACTTCCTGAATACCCTGGAAGGAGAAAAAAATGAAGCACATGAGTATGTGCTGTTCCTGGGAGGGATCAGATGGACGATGAGCTCTGGAAGGGGGTTTCTCTAAGGGCAGGAAAGGTGGTGAACAAGGCTGGAGAGAAGGTATGCAAAGGTGGAGGACAGAATCCTACAGGAAGGGAGCAGCGCAGGCTGAGCTGGACTGGTCGATTCCAGGCTCCATCTCAACTGTCTAGCTGAAGGGGAAGGGCTGGTTTGATGCCAGAGCTGCCTAGACACTGCTCCACCTATGTGCCTACAATGGGCCGAGTTGGACAACCAACCAAAGGTAGAAAAAGAGCAGGCATTAGTGAGAATGGGGGTGGATGGTTATGAGAGTCACTCACCTGCAGCATCCATCGGACAGGCCTCTGAGACCTCTCTTCCAGCTCTGCCATCAGCCTGCACAGGACCCGGCTCTGCTGGATGAGTGCGTCGTGATTCAACTCTAGTTTCTGTCTGGTCTCCCTCTCCTCCTGCTCCAGGCTGGCTAGAGCTGTGGCTGCTTCTACGTCCAGCTGCCGACCTGGTGGTTTTTTCTTTAGTAATCGCTGATACTTCTCAAACTCCCACATGATACTCTGCTTTCGGGTTTCTACCTGCATCTGCACAGCCAAGATCAGAAGCACTGATATTGTTTGTGTAAGAGCCACCTGGGACTGAGGAAACCTGGGTGTGTGTGCACGCGCACGCACACACTCTGGAATGTTTTGGTACCAACTGTGTGCCAGATACTACAGAGGCCAAGACAAAGTACACTATTTTTCCTACCTTTCTGTTCCCACATGCTTCTGTGCGTGCTCCTGGGTCTCTATTCCTTATTCTTATCGGCTCCAGTCGGGCCCAGGACATTATCTTGGTACTGTATGCTCTACTTCCTATTTTCTGAATAATATATCCTATTCTCAAAATAACAACCAGAGCATTACACTTAAGCCTTTAAGGCACTGTGACAGCTATAGTGCTAGATGTGTTTGCTTCTTTCTGGTATTATATCAGTTCAATATGTTGTTTTTGACTGGTTCAGGTTATCTTCTATTGATCTAAAGTTCTGATAGTTTGGTAGTTACGGTCCTCAAATTTATTTCAGAGGGGATTTTCCAGGATTTTAATAACTTAATTTTTAGTATGTATGCTCTACCTGGGGAAAGTGAAACAGAAACCATGTTTTACTAAGCATTACACAAATTGTACCACCACGAACTAACATATAAGTGAGCTGTGTATAAGGACATATGAGGACATTAGGCCAGAGGTTACCCCAATATCACAAACAAGAATCTGGGATGAGAAGTTCATGGCCCGCCTGTGGCTGCACACCTGGTAGAGAAAGCTGGTATGAATGTTCCTGGCTCTCTGACCTCAAACTCCACATTCTGCTTCACAGAGATGAGGGAGCTACCATAAGCCAGCTCTAGAACAACACTGGGACCACCCAAACTCCTTCCCCAGGTGGCAACCTGCCTTCCAGGTGGCAGTTCGTTTCCTCTCACCAACTTCCAGCTTCCAGGCCTCTTCTTGCTCTTTCCTCAGATGTTCCAGAGCCTCGTGGAGTTTCCACTGGAAGAGATTAAAACCTCATGAGGTCACCCCGGGCAGCTGGGTTGCTAATGACGCTCCCTAGCATTGGTAGGTAATGGGAAAAGAAGTGTCCCTCAGGTGATGAGCCACAATAAATGCCAGGAGAAGGGGGATGCCAAAGGAGTGGATTCCTGCCTACATGACATTCAAAGTAGCTTCTGATTTGACAATCACTTCAACTCCTGGAGTCTCTAAGTTTCTTTAGAAGAAAAGGACTGTTTCCAAGCTTGCCAGAAAACCACCTTGGCCTATCCACACCTCTTTTTATCCTTACTTGCCAAGTTATCCTATGGCCTCCTAAAACCTTCTTTGTATTCCAAGAACCCCAGATAGACCAGACTGGTCTTCAAATTCCCAGTAAGGAAGCATCTTTGAGTAAGGCATTAACCCACTTAGGAACTGAGGATGGGGTTGGAGGTGGGAGGGAAGGAGGTCAAAGGAGATCAAAAATGTTAAGGAGAGATGTGGCTCACTATATCAGATCCCAAGATTCTATGGGCATGAGGACCAAAGGTATCAGTTTTCATTTTATCTCTGGCCTCTGGTCCTCTGGCCTGCAGTCCTTAATTTAGAGATAGCCAAGTGAGGAGCAGGGGAGAGACTGGGGTAGCTAGCCTCTCTCTCCCACCTTATACTCCCAGGCGACATCTTCCATGGGCACGACACTGTGGGCCTCATGCTCAGGGGACCGGCTGCAGGCCTCACATATGATCAGGCCATCCTCTTTGCAGAACATCTTTAGCTGCTCTCCGTGGAGATCACACACATTAGCCTTCAGCCCCATTCCTGGGTGCAGCCCAAGCAGATGGACTTTTTCTACCACACTGGCCAGCTGCCAATTGGGCCTCAGGTTCCGGGGCTGGACAGGAGCCCGGCAGAGAGGACATGTGTAACCCCAGTTCTGGGATTCCCCTGGAACCTCCCAGAGTCCAGAGAGACAACTGTGGCAGAAGCTGTGGCCACAGTCAATGCTCACAGGATCCCTCAGGTAGGTCATGCATATGGGACAAGCTACTTCTTCCACCACGGCTTCTACCAATGCTGCAGGATCCATGGTTCCTTTTCACAGCCTCCTCAGAACATGAACAAAACCAGGCAGAGGAATAAAGGCTGAGAAGAAAAGAAAAACAAATGAGAAGAAAAGGTAACAGAGGAGCAGAGGAATCAATAAAAGGGAAAATTAATGAGTGGAAAAAACAAGTTTCTCCTTTTGATCCTTCATTGACCATATTTAATAAGCACTGGACTTCCCAACTGAAGTTCTGTTTGGGTGACATTACTCACACCACAGAGGGACAACTGGGGATGCCTAAGCAAGTTGGAAGTTCCGTTTTATTCATTTGGTCACCTCTGACCCTCCTCTGGGTTTGCCCACTCCACCTCAATCATGCTCTCCAAATCAGCATTATTTCTCTTGAAATTGGATGAGGTCACACAAAATGTGATGTTTCAATAGCTAAACTAAGACCAGAAATACCCCAGTCTCAGTCTGTGGTATGTTTATATGTATACTTTTACACCTCAAGGGGCAAAAAGGTAGTATGCCAAAACCCCATTGCCCATGTGCTTAATTGGTTTTCTTGTGAAGTAGAAGAGCACAAGCAATCCTTTCCCCACAGCCTGTAAAGCCCTGTTCCTTATCCAGCACCAGCTTTCACTGAGATGCTAACATTCTCAGCCTTCAGTGATATGCTGGAAGCAGAGATGAAACACCCTGTGGCAGATAAAAACAAAGGTCACCGGATGTTAATCAAACCTATACGATGAAGTCACTACCTCAGCAAGAAACCGGGGATTTCTGCCAGGGCCAATTGTTTGGAACTTACATGGCCAATGGTAGGCTCTTGGCACAGTTGGCAATGTTTACTTGTTTGCTTTGCAAGTTTGTGTTGGTAGCTGGAGTCTGTAAAGGGAAGAGGCATCTTGGACTTAGTGCTATACCCATAGCACCTAAACACTGCCTGAAATGTAGTTACTGCTGAAGAAATATTCCTCAAATAAGTAAGTCATTTAGACACAGAAGTAGTTCCTAAACTCAAAATGCTTTTATAATTGGTTAACTGAGAACATAATATTAATAACAGCAAGTACCTCTTGATCACTTATACTACATACCAGACACTATTTTCACAGTCTTAAATAGAAACCATTATTCTACTGTTCTCATTTTACAGATGCTTAGTCCTGGGCCCCACCATTCTATCTTGGGCAATTTACTAACCTCTCCAGCTTCAACTTATAATAAAAATTCAAGAGAGAGAGAAACCACTGTGATTTTGGGTATTCCAGTAAGTGTTCCTAGAGGAAATGAAGCAGCAAGTAGATTTTGCAGGACTCTCTGTTAAAGGCTAGCAGGACGCCCACCCTGTCTCCTGCTTTCTTCTGCTCCCACTATCATTACCAAACTGTGGGATCCAGTATCCTAAAACCTAGTTTTATGAAATCACTAACTCACTGAGGAGCCTATCGTGGTTCCTGAGCACCCAGTTCAATAGGAAGCTCTTGCTCTTCATCTTTGAAACTGTCTGTGTCAAGTTAAGCAGAGAGAGTAACTTCCACACTTCCCTGGAAGCCCCACACCTGTTTATTCTATACTACCTGGGTTCCTGCTGTTCTCCCAGCTTGAAATGACTTCTCCATGATTCTGCTGTTAACATCATCTGACATGTATGCATTTATTTATTGTCTTATTTCCCACACTAGAAGTTTCATGAGAATAGTGACATCAGCAATTTTGTTCACTACTATATCTCCAAGTCCAAGAACAGTGCCTCCAATATTTTTGAATATATGTAATTAAATGTAACTGTTGAGGGTCAGCTAATTGTAGGCTGTAGTTGGAAGAAGTGTCAACATCCTCATGTAATACAGAGCTACCACCTAAGGCTGACAGGATACAGGTTGAAATCTATGATTGAAAGCTGCAAAGATCAACATAAGAACAAAAATGGAAATTGAAAACTGGTGGGAGTAGTGAAGTGAGATAAAGAAATCTCAAAATGATAAATCAAGAAAGGCGGTGTAAGCATATTATTTAGATTTAGTGGGGTGATAAAAAGATCTGAATATGAAAATTTTAAAAGCGGTGACCTCCGCAAAACGGATTTAGGGGTGGGTAGGTATTGGTCTTAAACAAAAAACCTGTTTCATAGTGTTCTTTTTTATTATACATAAACTACTTCGACAAAACTTTAATTAGTAAACGTTTAATTGCTTCCAAATTGCCTTTAGCAGGGTGGGGAGTGAGTCAAAGAAAGACATTTATTTAGAGGGGTGGAGCTTGTTAAAGACTCGCGAGCAGGGGCCAGAGTGGGGAGAGTAGCAAGTGGGGCGGTGATCTCTGGGTTTGGGAGCAAAGGGGGATGGTAACCTTCTGGCCATTGGGCGCGAGGCAGGGCCCCGGGGCAGCGGGCGGGTAGGCGGCAAAGACGACTCCACAGAACCTATGACTTCAGGAGAGGCACGGTTGTCTACCCACATCTCCCTCCTTAGCCCGGACTAGCGCCCACAGGTGAAAGCCGAAAGTGTAAGTACTAGGCTCCTACTGCTAAGTGTCCAAAAAAGTCAGAAGCCGCTATTCTTACCACAGCACTTACCGCAGGCCCCGAGAAGGTCCCAACAGCGTCCAGCTCCTCAGCCTCCAGCAGGGCTCTCAGGCTCCGCCCACGGGACCGAAGCCAATGAGCGGTGGGCAGGGTTCTGCGCACTAGGGGCATCTTTAAGGGAACAGCCAATCACAGACAGGGATGAGGAAAACCCTAGCCAACCGGAGGAGGGAACGGAGACTTGCTCGCCTCTTGGCTTCCCGTTTTTTTTTTTTTTCTCCGCTATCTTGGTTTTTCTGACCCTTTCTGCAGCACAGGGTCCCTCACAGGTGTATAAGGGCCAAAGAATCAGTCCCAGGACGGGGCGAAGGGTGGGGCTTCCGGGTGAGACCTATCAGACTCTGCTTTAGTAGAGGCCTAGCTGGCTGTGGGTCCGAGGAACTATTCACGTTTAATGCTTCCGCTCTGGCTGACCAGTAGCTCTACTGAGCGAACCTTGTTCCTTCCGGGTGACGGTACCTGATGTTCACTTGCCAGTTTCTCTTGTTGAACTCACCAGCATGTGAGATCAGCCATATCTGGTTCAGTGACCCAGTTTAGCGCAGAGCTGGACACATACATGCTGTGGGCTTTCCAGTTTCCAGCAAGATGAGGGATCTGTACTGGCCCCAAGCTGCACATACTGGGTTCTTGGAAAAAAACTTCCCTTGTGTATTTCAGAGGCACAGTCTTACCACTATTTCCACAACCTACTTTAAAGTTAGAAGCGGATACTGGGAGCTGGTGGAGTGAAACTGGGATAAATCTCTAGGCACGAACTGACATTTAAATAAATTTAAAAAAATTTTTTTTTTTTTTTTTTAAACAGCGGGTACTTCTTCCTCCGCCAAACACAGGGATAAACACATACTGCTACTTAAAGTTGTGATTTGGGTTTTTCTTGGACTCCTTGTAACTTTTCCTGATATTTAGGTGTTTACTGAATAAGCAAATGAAGGCACATCCTGTTCATGTGGAAAATAACAAAGAACTCTTCAGTTGAAGCTCACTTCCATTGTTTGGATTTAAACTCTTTGTGTCTTCAGGCCAAGATTAGGGCCCAAGATACAGTTGAAATTCTGAAGAGTTAGGCCCAGAAAATTCCTGAAGCAATTGGGGCCATGAGCAAAAAAGATGTAACTGAGGTCTGAGCTGGACCCTTTGTCTCACCTGATCTAGAGAAATGGCTGCCCTGACAGAAGAGTGAGTGAATTAATTGAAACGAGTTACTTTAAACATTTATTAAGCATCAAGTTTTTGCAACATTTTGTGCTGGATGCTGGGATTATAACTGTGGGTCACACAGTCTCTGCTCCTAAGGAGCTCAAGAGCGAGTTTGTTGTATTTCTCTGGAAATTCTGTAAAGTTAAAACAGTTAATGTGGAGATCTTTTTAATTTATAATGTGAAATTATCCATAACCATAACCCCAAAGTATCTGTTTGCTAAAAGTCCTGGCAAAAGGGCACTTTAGAGTTTCTGGGGTTTGAGGCTTGTGTTCATGAAGGGGGAGGGGGATGCTGGACAGAGAGCTTTTGGAGACAGATGAGTCCACAACCCAGGCACAGAAGCTCTCTTTCCCAGTCTCCCTCAGGGTGCTTGTTTGCTGCGAGAGGCACACAGGTGTGTCCAGATAATGCTCTGTCTTTGATACATTCCTTTGGCTGCAACTGCAGACCTTAACCCTCCACCCTCTGCCTAAATCAAGAAAGATCAGGACAAGTTGAGTGGCTGTAAGATGAATTTTATCTGTGCTTGGAGAGGAGTGGCAGGAAGGTGGTGCAGATATGGAGGAAACCTGGCTAAGGAAAGGGTAGGGAGCTTGTACAAAACCCTGGAGCCCGTATTTGTGGAGGGAGACTAGAAACTGACCACACTGCATGTCATGTAATCTGCCTTGTTGAGAGACCCAATTGGTTTCTCTCTGTCTCCCTACTCCCTGCCTTAGTATGTGCCACAGCTTAAGTTTCATACAATTTTAGGTCTGAATTTTTTCATATTTAAAAAAATTATGTATTTATTTATCTACTGCAAAAAAGACATCTCTAGAGAAATTGTTATAGCTGTGAGTAATCCGCATTAATATCTGAAACAGTGAACTGAACAGATAATTGAACATATGTAGAGAATTGACTCACTCTATTTGAGGTTTGTTTTTTCCTGAAATCTATCCCAAACATTGTTATAAGGTTTCTATATGCTCCCTTGTTCCTTAGTTTCTTGTAGTTCATATATTGTCTCTTTTTAAAATTTCTATTCCACACATTTTTTGCTAAATATCCTAACACATTTCTCTGGTTAAACATAGATGCTTTCTCTCTTTCCCATCTCCCCATCCACCTCTGCTTTGGCAACCATCAGCTTGTTCTTGTATCTATTGGTCTGTTTTTGTTTTGTTTTATTTGTTGGTTTTATTTTTCCTTGATTTCACATATAAGTGAAATCATAGTGTATGTGTTTTACTCTGTCTGACTTGGCTTAGCATAATAATATCTTCCAATTTTATCCATGTAGTCACAAATGGCATGATTACATGCATTTTTTTGTGAGAAAAAATATATATAGATAGATACTATATATATAATATTAAGATATTATATATTATATAATATCTATATTTATTCCATTTATGTAGGTCTTCTTCGGTTCCTTTTAAGGATAACTTCTAGTTTTCTATGTAGAAGATCCTTTATATCCTTTATTAGATTTAATCTTAGATACATGATTTTTTATATTATTGTAAATCTGTTTTTAAAAAATCATATCTATTTTTATTAAAAATACAGTGGAGTCTTGTACATTGGCCTTTTATTCAGCAGTCTTTATATACTTACCTATTAATTCAAATTATTTCTCGATAGATTTTTTTTGCATTTTTCTACATATGCAAATCACTAACCCACAAATAATGATTATATAATTTCCTTTGTCTAACTCCTATATCTCATAGTTATTTTCTTGCCTTATTACAAGTTATCAACATAAGGAATCACTTCTATCTTCAGGCAAAACTGTGCTGTTTTCTTTGAGGGTGTTTGAGGCTTTGTGTTGACATACCCAAATCTATAGCATTACTCATCTGCAAATGGAATTTGGATACCCTTGGAGACAAGTGAACATTTTCTTAAAGGATAGATATCCTTGTAAAAGCAGCACCTAAAATGGAATCTAAGAATGGTTAGGATGTATAGGAGGGGAACAAAGAGGTCGACCATTCCAGGCCAAGCCAGAGTTTGAACAAATACTTAAAAATAGGTATGAAGAGAAAGAACTTGCATTCGAGGAACTGAAAGAATACCATACTGAGGGACAGTTAAGGTGTCATGAGAAGGTGCTGGGGAATTATCTGCAAATCCATGTCGTGCGGGGCCTCTTAGGACAACAATTTGAGTACATTCTCAGCCAAAGTTTTTCATTATTGGTTGGACATTTTAACATCCTGTTTATGTTGATTGATTTGCTCCTCTTTCTTGTGAAACTATTGGAAAAAATATAGAGATATAGTAGTACTTTAAAACCCACACCATGATCTACCTTAGCAAGTATCATTACTGTAACAAGTGCAAAACTGTTTGAAAAGTTCCTGTGAAAAACAGCCATTTAAAAACTGAACCAGCTTGGTACCTGATGTTAATCCTCCAAATTTAAGGGAACTTCTCATTAGACATGTCTGAATTCAAGCAGTGTAAATGTGAATTATGAGTGAACATCAATGAGAGGACCAATAATCTTTGCATTGAGAGCAAATCAAAGAGGATTCTGTAAACCTCCTCTTATGAATATGCACATAAATGTTTATCCTCCTTACCAAAAAGGAGGATAAGATCTGCTCAGAAGTATGACAAATAATTAATTTCATAATGTTAAATGCTTTAAGTTAAACAAAGAGAAAAGGGTAAAGAACGTCTTGGCCGGAAGAGGTTCTAGACTTCTGGCCAAGAGAGAGGTGTAGGCAGACATACTGTGCCTCCTTGCACAACCAAAAGAAGGACAACAAACTTAAAAACAAAAAACAACCAGAACTGCCAGAAAATCAAACTATACGGAAGTCCTACCACCAAGGAGTTAAAGAAGAAACATTCATCCAGATGGGTAAAAGGGGCAGAGATGGGCAGCTGGGCAGAGAGGGCCTGAGGCAAGGTGGCAGCTGGAGGACCGGGGCAACCAAGGCTGCATCTGGTGTGGCGGTTGGTTGACCATGTGTGGCATTGAATTGCAGACTGGGCAGACCCACATTCGCGTGCAGTTAAACTGGAAGGAACAACTAGGGAGTGAGACAGATGGAGTTCCAGCATGGGGGAAATAAAACCTCAAAACTCTGATTGAAAACATCTGTGGGGGTTGAGGCGCCAGTGAGAGAAACTCCCAGCCTCACAGGATAGTTCATTGGAGAGACCCACAGGGTCCTAGAACGTATACAAACCCACTCACCTGGGAATCATCCCCAGAAGGGCCCAATCTGATTGCGAATAGCTGGGGAAGTGACTGAAAACTAGCAGAGAGTGAAGCAAGTAGCATTATTCCCTCTCATACACCTCCCTGACATATAGCATCATAACACAGCCATGTGGGTTGCCCTGCCCTGGTGAACATCTAAGGCTCCACCCCTTACTATGTAACAGGTGTGCTGAGACAAAAAAAAAAAAAGACCCAAATGAAATAACAGATCAAAGCTCTAGACAAAATACAACTAAGCAATGAAGAGATAGCCAACCTATCAGATGCACAGTTCAAAACTCCTAAGCAGGATGCTTATAGAATTGGTTGAATATGGTGGCAAATTAGATGAAAAAAATGAAGGCTATACTAAGTGAAATAAAGGAAAATGTGCAGGGAACCAGCAGTGAAGGGAAGAAAACCAGGACTCATATCAATGGTATGGACCAGAAGGAAGAAAGAAACATTCAACCAGGACAGAATGAAGAAACAGAGATTAAAAAAAATAAGGAGAGGCTTAGGAACCTCCAGGACATCTTTATTCCAACATCCGAATCACAGGGGTGCCAGAAGAAGAAGAAGAAGAGCAAGAAATTGAAAACTTATTTGAACAAATAATGAAGGAGAACTTCCCCAATCTGGCAA